TCCTTGATGTTGCTTATTGTGCTTCTTATGAAAGGTCTTATGTGTAATTTCAGAGGCAACCCTAAGCCACCCCATTTCTAGCCGCTCTCAAAACCAATGCTCGGCAAATCTTTTTTTGTATCACAACCTCTCTATAACAACATCCCTATATAACAACACTTTCCTATAAAACCCAAGTTTTTTCGGAATCAATTTTCATGTTATTTTGCGGTCAGACCTCTCTATATATAACAACACTTCACTACAAAAGCCAAGCTTTTCCGAAACCAATTTTCATGTTATGTTATAATATAATATTCTCCATAATAGCACTTCGCTATAACATCCAAAAAATTTCGGAACAAACGAGGCTGTTATAGAGAGGTTGGACGGTATAATATATGTTCTAGAGAGGTTTGACTCTCTCTATCTATACTATATTAAAAACACGAAGGCCCTTAGCGAAATGTCGTTCGCTTTTTTTACCCTCTAAAAATAGAATTTACATTAGACAAAAAAGTCTTTTAGTTATTTTTCTAATATTTAGGACTTTTAAACCAACTATAATCTTTACTATTGAATCTATTTCCTTATTTAAATTATGTAGGAATCCTAAATATTTAAGAATTTGAAATCAACTAAACTTTTCCATATTAAATTTTTATTTATTCCAACTATAACCAACTATGCACTAACACGCTTTGGCCTAAGTATTCTCATACCAAATAGAAAATTTTCACTCTTTCTTCTGTTTCCATTTGAAATGCTTGGACTAAAATAAATTAAAATTAAAGAATTTATTTAATCTATTTATACTATATTAAAAGCACGAAGGCCCTTAGCGAAATGTTGTTTGTCTTTTCTATCCTTTTAAAATAGAGCTCACACTAGACAAAATAGTCATTTAATTATCATCTTAATATTTAGGACTTTAAAAGAAACTAAAATTTGATTATTAGATTTGTCCTTATTGAATTAAATAAGAAACCCCAATATTAAGGACTTTAAAATAAATATTATTTAAGAGAATTAATTAAGAGTATTACGTTTCTTTTCCTTGTATACTCACGTGATTTCCATAGAAATATGTTTACATTGATTCCTCTTATTAGGGAACCTATAATTCTAACATTACCTAATTAAATATTTGTTCTAATTATTAAATGTAGTTTTCAATATTACATAAAATCGATAAAGAGAATAATATTATGCTCGAGTAGGAGAATAGTTTGAAAATAATTTGTATCTTCTATACTATCAAAAAAGCATAAAATCTCAACAAATAATTAAGTCTTTGAATTAATAAAGCAACGGAAAAGTCAATTCAATTTTGTTTTAAAATTATTATGTAAGTAAACTTATTTGTCAAGTTGATAAAACTCTTAAGGTACACAAATTATTTTACACAATAAGAGCAATTGCCGTGAAAGAAATAAGAAAATAGAGAAAAATTTATTATAATATAGTATTAAAAGTTAAATTGCTAAAATGTTAAGTTGAAGCAATAAGGATATAACCCAAGACAAAAAAAAAATCACAAAAATTACCCTTATCATTTTTCTTTCTTTTTATATTTATTTTAATAAATGTAGCTCCCTATATTTTTCATATCGTATTACATCATTTTTTATAATTCAATATTAGCTATTTCATACTTTATATTGTTATTTATCTATGGGTTTCTAGGAGCTATAGTTCTATCTCTACGCTCACAAATTTCTAAAAGACCCAGAGATTCAAATTCTTCAATTTATTTTATTATCTTTGAATAATTATTTTAAAGTATTTTTTTGTTATTTGTTTATAGTATTTGGTAATAAAGATAACTATAATTTTCATAAGATATATATTATCTCATAAATCATAATAAGATATATAAAGACTTATGTGGCGTAGCATTTCTTTGTTTAATGAGCTAGCTTAGTGAGATTAACATTCATTATATTTAGACACTTATATTTTCTTTCTTTGATATTTTTTCAATAACTAAAACACATTATTGAATAATATATATATAATTTTTAAAAAATTATATATTTATTGATATAGGTTTGCGCATACCCTAATGCTAGTATATATAATAGGATGAAGATATAACATGCCTATTTTATATAAGACCCACCAATTTATATTTTGTCCAAATAAACGTAATACAAAAATGTGACACACTAATTAAAAAGAAAATAATTTCACATAAAATAGATATATAATTCCTAGTATTTTTTTACATTGTATGTTTTCAACAATCAAATACTCCTATAAGGAAATTAGAGATAAATAAAAGAATTTAACAAGTAATGTAAAAGCAAATTAAAAACCGCAGATAAGATTCACAATAATGAATTGGTTTCATTTTCTACTTTTTCTTCTTCCTAAAAACCACCTCAGTATCCAACCCGAATCCATCAATGCGCCTTACCTCAACCAGCTCAGACCTCTTGTACAATTCCTTAAGTGGCTCCACACTGTACAAATCATTAGCCGAATACTTATCAGCCCGTCTAGATAACGCCACGTGTAACACGCAAATCCCGCCGGGCTTTAACGTCCGTTCGATCTCGCCGACGAACTTCCATGGATAAAGCGCATGATCAAACACATTCGAAAACTCTAAATCAAAAGTCCCATCATCGAACGGCTGATGATGAAAGTCACCTTTAATCACTAACGGATGATAAGGTACCAGATCAATGCCAACTGAATCGTTAACTCCGACCCGTTTTAGTGCCGCCACTTCCTGCCCGACCCGTGCACCAACACAAAGAGCTTTTGAATTATTAGATAAGAAACCACGAAGCTTTAAATTTTCGAAGAATTCGGAGAAGACGCGGACTTTGCGATCCCAATCCCGAGTTGTCCAGATTTGTCGGAGTTTGGGGTTGAGGGTCTTGTTGAGCTGGCGCTCGATGTATGCATCGTAGGAAGAATAACCGGGTCGGATTCGGAGATCCGGTGGGAGGTTAGCGGTGGTGGGTTTTTGGAGAGAGTGACGTGGAGTTTGTAAAGAAAGGAAGGCTAAGAAGGAGAGAGAGAGAAAGAGGGAAAGGATGAAAGGCTTGATGGCTAGAGGCAGTTTCTGAAGATTTATCTTCATGCTTGCATGATATGGAAAATGGATATATTCTACACGTAAAAAGTGGGTTTCTTGTTTTGAACAGAAGGTTTGTTATGGAAAATTCTCTACATAATGCGGGTGAGTTGGGTCGAGGGAGGAGGATTGCGTGAAATAACAAGAAAAGGATAGAATTTTGGGAATAAGGTGCTTCATATACGAAGCTCTCATTCTTTTTGAACCGGGTTTTTTTTGGTTGAGAAATGCGTATATATCTTTAGCTATTTCAAAAAATAATAACCGATAAAATTTATATTTTTTTATATATTTTTTTGCTAGCAAATGTAATTAATTTCGCTCGATGGCCACTTTAGTGTTTTGCTCTTTTTTATATCTTCCAACTTGTTTTGAAATCCAACTAATTCAAGTTTAAGCCGCATAAGACATATTAAAAGAAAAAAACATTCCCTAAATCGGGATATAGAAAAAGTTCACGGCTCATGCGGTAGAGTCATTTTTCTTTCGTTTGTAACAGAAAAGTCATTTAACTATACTTATAGCACTCACAAGGTTACTCAACCAAATTTCTCAAACTTTTGATGGACAAATATTTATTTTAGAGGAATTTTCAGAAATCACTATTGTTTAGTGGCTATTAACTTCTTATAGCTACAATATACATAATTACTTTCTATAGCTACTATTTAGTTGTTACGTGACTGTATTTGTTGTATTCGTGTTATTGTATTCATGAATATAGTAGCGGAATTTGCTTAAAACAGGGATTACAACTGTTTAATTATGTATTCCATGTATTCGTGTGACTGTGTTTATAAATATAGTGAAGTAATCCGCCTAAAAATGGTAATTACGTGTGTTTAACACGGAAAGCGCAATATTGAATTGTATTCAATTTTACTATATTGAATACAATTGTTTTCAAACAATAAAAAATTAAAATATATAGTATATACCGTTCTATTCAATTCGACTATATACATATATTCATTATTCACCATTATACATTGTATTCAATTCGTCGTATTCAATTTGACTATATTCAAACAACAAAAGATCACAAAAACATGGATATTCGGCTGTATTAAAAAATAAAAATAATATATTTATACAAAAATATAATATATTTGAGTGTATTTGTACAGAATACAATATATTTGTATCATTGTATGTGACTCAATAGCAAAGAAGAGAAGAAAGTTCGCCGGAGATGGCTTCCGGCCAAGAAAAATATTGTATACATTGTATTAAAACTAAAAATGAAGACGAACAAAAACCCGGTCCTCAAATCTTCTCCGGCCTAGCCATGGCCAAATCTGTTAGCCTAAGAGGACGAGTCAATAGTGGATGATGACGCCGACGATTCTAACGCTGATGACGATTTGACGACCACGCTGATGACACTGACAATTCTGAGGACGCCGACGATTCTTACGCCGATCACAATGACGAGATGGAGAAGAGAGAGAAATTTGAGGGAGAAGAGAGAGGATTCAGAATATCGCTAATATAGAGAGAGAAGGAAGAGAAGGAGAGAGAACATAATTAGCATATTTCACTCCTCAATGGCAGAATATAAAATAAATACTCCGTACCTATTTTACTATAAATTAGAAAAGATAGCTATAAGTAATAATATTTTAAAATTATTTTGATTTATAATAAATATGGTGTAATAGTTTGCTATAGGAGGTAAAATTTCCTTTATATTTTACCCTATAAATCTTCAACCTTTGTCTTTTTAATCTATATTTTACACTCTTTAAGTCTATTTGATTGCTCCCCTATTGGCTATCAGCTCCTTTTTCTCTTGGAGAAAGTAGCAGCTACGCTGTCTGGACATTCAAAATGTGATTGCAGCTGTAAATGCTCATATAATTTTACTTCAATTTCTCCGTAAAGTATCAACTATCAACAAGCAAATGGCATTAAACTAGTAAATAATGTAGAATTGACCAAAAATTGATTAAAGTTCAGGAAATGCAGGATTATTGTTAATGATCTGTACTAACACCCTTATGGAAGACAGTAAGGGTAATGCAGTATGCGTTTACCACTACAGTAGCTGAACACATGAGAGGCCTAATTTTTACATCAACAAATATCCATCATACAAGAAACTTAAAAGAAAAAGATATTAGGAAGGACTGGACAGTCCCTGTCCATCCACCAGTCCCAACAAAACGGCACAAGCTACTTAGAGAAGGCATCAACGAAGTACAAGATGTAACAAGCTAATGTATATGATCTTCTCATTTAAGATGCATCATCAGATAACCCAAAGGACGGTAACAGCCAGCTTCTTTCTTTGGCATGATCCACATAAAACGTGAATTTATCCTTTGCATTCGGAATGTCAAGAGCCAGATCATCAAGCCCATCCTTGATCCTCCCAAAGCCTTTAGTCATCTGGTTGATAGTGATAAGCCCCTCATTAAAGCATACTTGCAGCAAATCCAGCATCCTATCATTCTTCTTCTCCATTGCCATAACCAAAGCTTTTTTCACTACCTCATGATTGAAGAATGGCATTCCAAGATCTCGTATGCACTGGCAAGCTTCACTGAGAACACCACTACTTTCAAATTCCTCAAGGAGCTTTTGTATCTTATCCTTAGCATCCTCCACAGCCCATCCAGTCCCACCACCCCAACACCTCAGGATCCTTTCTCCAGCATGCCGTGCAGACAGAAGTGATTGAGCCGTACAGACGGTCTCCAATCCACTGCTGCAATTTGGTGGCAGCCTGTTCGATATCTCTTCCAAATTCAGTGGAGCAAGGATATCATCTATTACGGCCCTAGCAAGGAAAAGAGCAAGTTCATTGGAAGCATCTAAAATGTCAAGAGCTGTATCTTCTGCAGATTCCAGTAGCAACACAAATCCATTTACTATGTCTTCAGTTGAAAAAATCTCAATATGAAGTGCAGAAAGCAAAACAGATGCCATTTCCTTTTCCTTGTTTTTCCTGTCCATGGCAAGGGTGATTAGCTTCTTCAGAAAAATAGGGTTGAACTCAGGTTGCCCCAAATCTTCAAGACTCCGGATTAGCTCCGGAATGTCATCCGAAAGAAAATACTCATGGATTATGCTAACAATATGTTTCTTGTATTGCTTCACTTTTTCATCATCCGGACCATGTGCTTGCCCATTTTCCTCTGAGGTTTTCGGAAAAGATGCATCAAGCCACCCCTCGGAGATTGCCTGAGGAACAATTGACTGGAACAATGTTT